ATTTGGCTGGTGCAACTAAGGAACTGAATTCTTAATTCTGTTTAACTTAATTTGAATTTGAATAGCCAAATGTGGCTATGGGTGGCTACTGTATTAGACAATGAAGTTCTTTCTTTTTTTTTTTTTAATCCTTTTATTATTCTTTTTTAACAAATGGCCCCAGGGATAGGGGACCAGGGGACAATGAAGTTCTAAAAGCATAAATTAGCTGTGCCTGTTTTTAAATATTATATATACAGGATTACACTGTAGATATATATTTTTTAAAGTTTTCTTTCTAAGTGTTTGAAATAGTTCCCAACTTACACAAAGGCTGCAGGAAAAGTGCATAAAGCACCCATATGTGAATACCTTTACCCAGATTTACCTGTTATTAATATTTAGCCCCATTTTATCATTTATTTCCTTCTCCCTCTCCATATATGTACATACACTCACACAGTTTTTACTTAAACCATCTAAGAGTAAGTTGCATACATTAATTTTTTTTTTTTTTTTTTGTCCCTTTTGAGACCGGCTGCACCGCACTCAGCCAGTGAGCGCTGTGAGCACACTGGTCATCCCTATATAGGATCCGAACCCGCGGCGAGAGTGCTGCTGTGCTCCCAGCGCTGCACCCTCCCGAGTGCGCCACGGGCTCGGCCCTGCATACATCAATTTTAGGTATAAGTGAAGACTAAGGATATTTCCATACATAGAGTGTAGTTATTTCCTTTGGGAGATTTAACATTACTCTACTGCTCCTACCTAATCTTACCATCTGTATTCAGATTTTGTCACTTGACCCAGTGGCATCTCCATGTACATATATGGAGAGTATTTTCTTCCCTCTAGTGCAGAATTCATTCTAGGATCATGTGTTGCATTAGTTGTCATGTCTTTTTAACCTGTTTTAATCTGGAGTACTTTCTCTTTCTTTCTTTGTCCTTTATATGACATTGACACATTTGAAAAGTACAGCTCCCTCACTTTTTTAACAGAGCACCTCCCAGTTTGACTTGGTCTGATGTTTCCTCCTGATAGATTGAGGTTATGTATCCCCTGTCAGAATATATGTGTAGGATGTATGTATCCTTCTCAGGCTGTCACATCCAGAAGCATGCAGTATCCATCTGCCCCACGATGGTGATAAATAGTTCACCCAGTTAAGATTTTGTTATATTTTTCTACTGTGTACTTAATACTTTTTCCCCTGTATCAGTTTTTGAGAACACTTTTAGTTTCTGGCTCATCTTGAACCTCTGTGCCCCAACTCAGTCGTTTCTCTGAGAAGCTTCAGTTCCTTTAATGGGGAGTGATTTTAAAGACCAATTTCTGGGTGCTAGTTATGCTCATTATTAGGCTCCTTCAGTGGACACAGTTAACAAAATATGGGTATATGCACACATATTTTTATACACATGTTTCTATGTAATACGTAAGTTGAGAATTGTGACTTAACTTCCTGGCTTTCTCCCGTTCTGTATTTTTGTTTCTCTCCTTCTGCTGACACCTCTGGCTCCCAGCAGCATTGGCACATTGACTCATCTGTTCAGTCCTGTGTCTAAAATAGCTTCACTTACTCTGCCCGTATCCCTGCAACACACAGCTTGCTGAGAAGAGTTCAGGACATGTCTGCAGTTCTCTCCACCTCACCTGCAGTACTTCAAGTTCTGTGTTCACAAATTTCTTGGATTTGTTTTGTTTCATTTTTTCTACCCTATTTCCCCTTCAGTGTTACTGTGTGATTCACTTGAAATACAGTGGGGTTTCTTGGTTTCAGTCAGTTTTGCATTTTAGGCTTCCCTTCCCATCTTTGTTGATTTAATTTTCTTTGAGTATGTAGAGTGTTGGCATGCTTCCAAAACACCAAAACTGTACAAAGTTGTACTCAGAGTGTCACTCCCTTCCTTATCCACCTACCTCCTTCCCCCACCCATCATAAGCAACCCTCCGTTGTCTTCTGCTCTGTGTTCCTAGGGTTTGTGTGTGAGACAAGCAGATGGTTTTTATTTCTCCTTTCTTTAACAAAAGATAATGTTAAATTGCTGAACGTGTTCTTTTGGGTTTTTTGTTTTGTTTTTAGCACTATATCCTAGAAATCATTCCATGTCAGTTCATGGAGCTCATTACTTTTTTACATTTGTGTAGTACTCCTTTGAATGTAAATAGTTTACTTAACCAATCTCCCGTAAATGGACATTTAAGTGCTTTTAAGTATTTTGCAATTATAAATAATATAGTAATAATTTTGTGCATGTGTAGTTTTATATTCTTGGTGTGTCTTTAGGATAATTTCCTAGAAGTGGGGATTGCTGGCTCAAAAGAGAAATAACATGCATATGTAGCTTTTTCAGGTGTTGCATATTTCCCTCCGTAGGGATTACCTTTTTGTACTCCCCCCAGCAGTGTTTAAAAGTTCCTGTTTCCTTGCAGCCTTGCCAACAGACTGTATTTTCAAACTTTTGAATTCTTGCTGTCTGATGGATGAGAGATGATACACAATTGTACCCTTCTTTTTCACCTGTCTGGTGAAGTTGAACATCATTTTTATATATTTGTGAGTATGCCTGTGTGAGTGGTTTAGTTACTGTGTTTTATACATTTTTCTATAAGATTTCTGGGTTTTTCCTTCAATTACTAAGGAAGTATTTGCCTTTTATCTGTAATAGATGTTGCAACTGTTTTTTCCCAGTTTGCCATTTGTTTTCTGACTTTGCTTGTTGTGGTTTTTCACTATGCAGATTTTTTAAAATTATCTTTATTTTATTTTATTTTTCCCTTTTTGTCTTTTTTACTGACCGGTAACGGGATCGCAACCCTCGGTGTCGCGCCCGTACCGGGGACTGGCAACGGGATCGCAACCCTCGGTGTTGCACCCGCACTGCGCTCAGCCAGTGAGCGGGAACCGGTCTCCACGTGGGATCCGAACCCTCGGCGGGAGCGCCACCGCGCTCCCAAGCGGCGCACTCTCCAGTGCGCCACCGGGCTGGCCCTAAATTATCTTTAAAAGGCAGTGATTTGAGATACAGTCTTTGTCATATACTCTGTTTCTTTATGTAGTTGGTCTGTTTCTGGGCATTCTGGTCTAGTCCATCTCTGCATGCTAATACCATACTGCTTGGATCACAGAGGCTTTGTAGTACATTTTGAAATTATGTAGAGTGAATTCCCCTCCTCCCACCCCCCAATATACCTCTCTCTTCAGTATTTTCCAACTATTCCTAAGTGTTAATTTTTCCATATGAACTTCAGTATCAACTAGCTCTAAAAAGAGGACATTGACTTTTTTTTTTTTTTTAATCTGATGGGTCCTCTTAGTCTGTAGATTCAGGTCTTTATTTCTGGAAAGTTCTCTTGTATTATAGTTTCAAATATGAGTTATGTTTTGATTTCTTTAGGGACCCCCATTATGTTTATGTTGGGCCTTCTTTGCCTGTCTTCCATTTTAATCTCCAACTACTTTCTTCCTCTTTCTACTTCTTTATCTCATTTTTATTTTGCTAGATCTTTCCCTCCCTTTCTTAAATGCCCATCATTAGATTTTTATTTGCATTTATTCTCCTTTGGGCATCATATGCAAGAGTACTGTAAAAAGTTCATGGTACCAAGATTTCACAATAGTAATATTTTAAAAAATGGTTGTGAAAAATAGAATTGTAACATAATTAGTGATCTTTCCATGAAGTTTTTGGAGTATGCTCATAATTTAGTCTTCATTTCTGATGAATTTATCTTTTTCTTTTATTTCTTCTCTGACTTAATCAACTCTTTTCATTTCTTCCTGGTTTTGTTGGGTTCTTTTCTTATTTTTTCATGTTTTTTTTGGGGGGAAGGGGTTTAATTGATTGTTTTCTTTTCTTTTTCATATTTCCCAAATGCTTATTGGAGGCTATTTATTTCAGTTTGGAGTGGTATGCTGGAGTTTTGTTTTGCTTTGAGGGTTTGTTTTTTCATTTTTTGGTAAGAATTGTCACTTTGGCTCGCATTTGTTTGTCAGATTCATCCATGTTGTTGAGAGTAGTTAGCACTCCATTTGTTTTTATTGTGGTGTAGTGTTCCATCATGTGACTAGTCCAACTTTTTTATCCATTCTCCTGCACATAGACATTTAGATTGTTTCCACTTTTTGGCTATTGTGAGTAGTGCTACTGGGAACGTATTTGTTCTTGTCTTTTGGTGAACATCTTTCTTTGCTTTTAAGCTTGTGTTCCTTTTGTACTGTTCAGTTATGTAAGCTTATTCTGCCAGGAAAGAGGACTAGTGCTCTGAAATCTGTCCAACGACCCCCCCACATGTTCAGAAGTATAAGTAAGGTAGTTAGGAAAACAGGCTTTCATGCAATAGACTTGTGTTTGCTTCTCTGCTGTACTGCTTATTGCTGTATAATTTTGGGCAGATTGCTCACCTGTGTCTTCATCTGTAAAGTACAACTTGGGAGGTATATGGCAGTTTGTTTGCCTGCAGCAGTCTTGCCCCAAATCTTCACCTGACTCCCTTACCTCATCAACTCTGTTGTTCTCAGTGGTGACCACCACCCTCCCTGCTCCCTCCATGCATCCCTCCCTGTCCCTTCACCTCATTTTATGTTTCTTCATGGCCCTTACCACACAGGTTCTGCTGTGCAACACGTCTGAGACAACTTTGCACATTTATGTGTTGCATGTTTGTTTTCTGACACCTCAGCGGGCATCAAACTTCATGAAGACATGGGCAGCATCAGCCCACTCACCATCACAGGCCCAGGCTCCAGAGCATTCCCAGCACAAGGGAGATGCTCAGCAACCAGCAGCAGCTGGGTGGGGGGATGGACAGGAATGATGATTGTGCCTTGCCAGGTTAATTAGGGACTAAATGAGCTTCGTTGGTGGTGACTGCTGCTGCTGTACTGACTGGCTTGTCACACAGAACGTGCTTACTATACCAGCATTTCCTCAGCTGATCTACTGCCAGTTAAGGGCTTTGACCTACCTTATGTGTTGCCTGGAAATGGTTAATGTATGTATTTATTTTATTAACAGAGACATTAAACCTGACAATGTCCTTTTGGACATGAATGGTCATATCCGCCTGGCCGACTTTGGATCATGTTTGAAGATGAATGATGATGGAACTGTAGGTATTTTTGTTGGACATTTTCCATTTACTTTTGGGTTTGGCCTGAAGTTAGAAGGAGCTTAAATTATCAATTTGAGATACAATTAAGATTAAGATGCAATTAAGAAACTTAAGTTTATTAATGTAAATTAAGAAAATGAATCTATTTAGGAGACAGTTAAAATTTTCTATTTTGGGGTGTTTTTTTCTTTACGTTTATAAACATCTTTATTGCTTTTTATGTTTACAAAAGTGATAATATGCCTTCTAAAATGGGGGGTTGTCAGGTTTCCTCAAACACATAAGGCTGCTAAAAGCAGACTACAGACCACCACTGAGCAAATGAGGGACAGCTCTCGGGCTCCTCCCTGAAGTTTCCTGTCCAGACTGCTCGGGGGGCAGACACTAGCCATGTAACTGCACATTCTCACTTCTCCTGGGCAGCTAACTTCCTGTTGGTTGGGGCTTTTCCCTCAATGGGTGTTATATATCGAGAAGCAGAGGTCCTTAATGTCAGAGTGTCACAAGGGCCAACTGACACTCCAGTCAGAACAGGAAGTTGCCCCTGGATCAGCTGTGGTTTGGAGACCCAGGCTTGGGCCTCAGTTGCTGTGGCTGTACCACAGCCATACTGATGTTGTACTGAGTGGCCCGAGGCTTGCCGTCCAGTCCAGCAGCTGCTTCCAGAGAGCTGCTATCACCTCAGTAGGAAATGCCTATGTTCTATCCTGTGGCCACTCTCACAGTTTTATTATTACAAGTTTGCAAGTCTTTCTTCTTTAAACCTACACTTATCTTAAATTGTCACATAAAATACTTCTCCAAAAGAGAGCAATCCCTTCCTTTCTTACTAGTGAGTTTTCAAGGAGCAGTAAAAGAACCCAGAGAACTGCATCAGTTGACAGTGTTTGAAGAGGAGTGAAGCAATTTGCTCACTTTTTTTCCACAAAGCCAGTCTCCAGTTTTTGAAAGTCTTAAGCGCACATTGATTAATTTATAGGTTGGCGCTGTCCACAAATCCAGCCTTCAAATAACTGGAACCCGGGCCTTGGTCTGCACCAGAGCACTGGCTACCCTTCTCACCTGCATGTCACCTTCATCAAGAGCTCCTGGGCCAAGCAGTGCACTTGTGCAGAGGACTAGTCTCATGACAGAGGCAGAATTCCCTGCTGATTCATTCAGACCGAGCAGTTCTCACCACTAGTGGCTCTAGGCCACTGCTTATACCCTGTGGCTCTCTTTTCAGACAGGACACAAGAGCGAGTCTGTCCTTTCCCCAGACAGGCCTTGTGTGATTATTGTTTCCGGTTCCTGCCTGACCCTCAGTCGTATAGACTCAGCAACCTCAGGGGTGGCCCCATGCTTCCATTAGCTCTGAGACCTATAGACATTTTCTCAGCTTACCCAGTCCCCTCCTGTTTTCTCTGGGGTGACTGATGCCCTTGCTGATCATGGCTTTCTGGAAAGGTGTCACTACATTCAGGCTATGTCAGTAGCTGGGGAATTGTTCTCTCCCTTTTGGGGGTGGGGGGGGAGGGTGGTCTTAGCTTCCCAGTGTCCTGTCCAGGGAATTCCTAAGCACCCAGCTAATGCCTGGATCAACTTCCAGATGTTCCCATCAGGGAGTCCACAGGTTGGGCTGCTGGTAAGCAACTTTAGCATACTCTGGGAGCTTGTTAGAAATGCAGCATCTTGGGCCCTGCCCAGAGTCTGTGTTCTAACATGAGCCTCTGCACACTGGCCTGGACATACGTGCTCCCCAACAACTCTGGGAGCAGTGGCAGAGAGAGTGGCAAATGCCAACCCTGGGGGGACTTCAAGAGGTTGCCATTTGGGGGCTGTGGTGGGCATCTAGCCATTGAGGAAACTATGTTGCAAGAGTCTCATGCACTCTGGGAACTGCACAATGTTTAGTGCTGCAAGAGAATGTTTATTTGCATTGACTTTTGAGTTACTAGGTTTTTAAATCATGATCATTCACTAGTTTAATTCCATGATTATTTTTGGTTGCCCCTATATTTTTAAGGAAGTAGTTAGAAATATGCAATTAGAGATTCTCAAGGATGTCCCTTCAATGCTTCCTTCTCCCCAAAGGTTCAGTCTTCTGTGGCTGTGGGCACACCTGACTACATCTCACCTGAGATTCTGCAGGCAATGGAGGATGGCATGGGCAAGTACGGGCCTGAGTGCGATTGGTGGTCCCTGGGTGTCTGCATGTACGAGATGCTTTATGGAGAAACGCCATTTTATGCAGAGTCACTCGTGGAGACCTATGGGAAGATCATGAACCATGAAGTAAGATGCCCTGTTTTGCGTTTCCATGCCCTGTTTTTTCCTAATAGCCTGCACAGGCCTAGAGATAAAGAGAGCATGCCTACAGGGAGAGAGGTGAATTGAGAAGCTGGTAGAGTAGGTCAGAAAGAGATGCTGGTGTTTGGACCAGGCTGGGGGCAGGCAGAACGTGAGGAGAGATTGGGGGAAGATTCTGGAGGTGGGATGAGCATCAGATGCCGACACAGGATGTGGGCATGAGGCAAGGGGGAGCTTCCAGGATGACCCCTCGCCAGGGGAGGATGCTGGTATTCATTGAGATCAGACTCCCTGGAGGAGAAGCAGGGGTCCATAGAAAGATGTGTCTGTGTGGCCATGGTGAGTGTGAGGTGTCTTGAGACAGCTGGTAGGGAGGTCCAGTGGGCACTTTGACCTGTGGTTCTAGATTTATCAGTTAGATGCCAACTTTGATTTTCAAATCTGTTCCCCAGAAATCAGTCGTCATAAATGTTCCCACATCTCCACACAGTGAAGTACTTAATCATACCTTGATTCTGTTTCTTTTTCTCTCTTCCCTTTCCAAGGTGTTTGTTTTTTCACTTTGTTGTTGTTGCCTTTCCTTCGTCTTTCTTTTTTTTCTCTTTTATTATTATTTCCTCTTCTGTGTAATAGTTTTTCATCTGCTTTCTTTTTTTTTTCTTTTTTTTTTTTTTTTCTACAAGATGACTAGTAAGGAGTTCTTAACCCTTGATTTGGTGTTGTCAGCACCACGCTCTCCCAAGTGAGCAACCAGCCATCCCTATATGGGATCCAAACCCATGGCCTTGGTGTTGTCAGCACCACACTCTCCCGAGTGAGCCATGGGCCGGCCCCTTCATCTGTTTTCTTTTTCTTTATTCTCTTTAGTCAAATATGTCTTCTTCCTAATGCCAATTCCACTTTTTCTACCAGTATGTTTACAGCATTCTCTTTCTCGGCCTGCATTTCTCACATGCACACACACGCGCATGTGTGTACACACACATGTCCCAGAAACATTCCTGGTTGTATGCTGACGTGTCCTCCAGCTGGTGTTTCCCACTAATTGCTCATATAGGGGGTAGATTAACACTGAAGTGGTAAATGGTTTTCCATTTAACTGCAAACAAAGCAAAAATTATACTTAAAATTTTTTCCCCAAGTAGAAATATATTTTTTCATTTATGAATCATTACATGCTTCCTATAAAAATTTCAGATGGTACAAAAGTGCATTCAGTAGATGGTGAAAATCACCCCATCCACTTCTCAGTGTTAAGTGTTGTTAAGGTAATAATTAGGACTTAGTTAATATCGAGCACCTGCTGTTGTTGAGTGCTGAGCAGTGTGGGGCCCCGGTCAGGTGCTTCCATGCATTCACTTGTTTAATCTGCACTACAGCCCTGGGAAGGAGGTAGTATTGTTAGCCCTTTCTGTGGATAACAAAGGAGACCCATAGACAGCAGGTGGCTCAGCCCCCAGGCCTGCTCTGCTGTGCCTGGCATGTGGCCATGCAGACTTGAGCTGGTGTGGGCGTGCATGTTTAAATACATGGGGTCACATTGCATGTGTCGTGTTTTTTGGTCATTATAGTTTTAGCATCTTTCTATATTGACACACAAAGATGTGTCTTTCTCTTTGTATATGTACCATATCTTTTTTTAACAAGTCCCTTTTTGATGGGCATTTAGGTGATTTGCATTTTTCTTGACCAAGATATAATGCAGTCATGAACTGTTATGATTTCTCTCTGACTGTTCCTATAAAATAAATTTCTAGAAGTGGAATTACCATGTGTAGGCAAAATGTACTCTGAAAGGGCTGTGCCTGTCTGCATTCCCACCCACAGCATGTTATCAGTATTATTTGCCACTTTGGTAGGTGAAAATTTATCATTTTTTAAATTTACACATAATGTGGTAACAAGTCTACCACAAATAAAAGTAGAAAGATTAATGATTTTCTTGTTTGCCTTTCTGGAATTAAAGTTCATAACTTTGGTTTTTTTGTTTTTATTTTTGGCGGCTGGCTGGTATAGGGATCGAACCCTGGCCCTTGGTGTTGGCACCACACTCTAACCAACTGAGCTAACCGGCCTGCCCAAAATTCATTACCTTTTGTTTGCATTTAGTTACCATGGAATAAAACATGACTGCTGCTTTGGAGCCGTTGTTTCTATTTTGTTTCCTGTAATGTCAGTATGTCTTAGATATTTTTGAATATGTCCACCTGTCCACTAATTTTTTTTTTGCCTCTCCACCCAGGAGCGATTTCAGTTCCCTTCCCATGTCACGGATGTATCTGAAGAAGCAAAAGACCTCATTCAGAGATTGATCTGCAGCAGAGAGCGCCGGCTAGGGCAGAATGGAATAGAGGACTTCAAAAAGCACGCATTTTTTGAAGGTCTAAATTGGGAAAATATACGAAATCTAGAAGCACCTTATATTCCCGACGTGAGCAGTCCTTCGGACACATCCAACTTTGATGTGGATGATGATGTGCTAAGAAATACTGTAAGTGTGAAGATGCTTCTGTTCACAGTAGAGCTGGAGATTAGCAATGTTATACTGACGGTGTTGCTTACCAAGTTAATAAATCTTAGAACTGTACTTACTTTTTGAAAAATTTGGCAATTGTCTCAAGGAAGTATGCCTTTTATTCCAGCTTTCAGCTTTGTCTTTAATGTCCCCTTTTTAAAAAAAGATGGGTTACTCATTTTGAGTAAAACCGAGTTAAACAGCTCTCTTCATTCAGAAACTCAGAAATAATTTTGCTTTGTTTTCGTGGTACTTTATACCTTCTCAAAGCAGTGTCATTTACATTATTGTGTTAGAGCTTCACCACAGCTTTGTCACTACTTTTTAGATTTAAAGACCTTAAGACACAATGTGGGGATTGGCCTCTGGTCCTATGGATAGTGTGTTGGCCTCTTTGTTTCTGGTCTGTTTCCCTACATATGAGGGCATATTAAATCTTTGTACCATCACAGGTGACAGTGTCTGTGTTTGTGTTTCTTTATACAACAGGAGTTCAAGAGCAACGACAATAACAGATTTTGAGTATTTGCACTGACTATTTAAGATTGCGGATTGTCCAGGTTGGATCCCAGATGTGGGACTTGTCTGGTATTCTTATCTGGTCTGACAGGGCCCTGTTTGATTCACTAGCCAGGACCTTTGGTCCTGGAGAATTTTGCTCATGTCTTGTAAAATTATTTTGGTCTCATCAAAGCCATACATGTGACTTGGTTTGGGGATAGAGAAACTGAGGATTAACCAAGTAAGAGAAAATCTTCTTTATTACTACTTAATTTAGAGACTTTCTTATACTAAAATAGTGTCATTTGCTGTGAATGACCATGACATGGGGAAAACTCTTAGTTTATGAACAGTTTTCAAGGAGGAACAGAGGTTTTTAGGAGAAACCATTAAGTACCCCTTGCAGCTTTGTGAAATAGTTATCTGTTTGCACTTAATACTTGCTTTGATGGCTCCACGTTCAGAATAAGAGTTGAACTTCAGATCACATGGAGAAAAGACAAGAAAGTACAGTTCACCATCTGCATCTATAGGTTCCGCATCCAGAGATTAAACCAACCTACGGATCAGAAATATTTGGGAAAAAAGAATAATAATAATAAAAAATAACACAAAATGTAAAAACCCCAGTGTAACAATTATGTACATAATATTTACATTAGATTTTATAAGTAACTAGAGATGATTTAAAGTATACAGAGGATGTGCGAAGGTTATATGCAAATGATACACCATTTTATATCTGGGACTTGAGCATCCATGGATTTTTGTATCCACCAGGGTCTGGAACCAATCCCCCCCCAGATATTGAGGGATAACTGTATTATCACTATTAAAGGGAGTTTTTCCTAGACTCCAAAGAAAGTATTTCCATACTGAAATTTTCCAGATAGCTAACTTTGATTTTATTTTTAATAAAGATTCTCAAACTGAAAAACAGAGTTGTAATAAACTTATCTAAAGTAGTCTACTTTTGCTTTCCAAATTTCCTTTCTATTTTGGGCCTCAGTTTCAGGTTGAAAGCGAGAGTCCCAGTCTGCCCCATGTCCTCAGAGGGCCTGCACTTTGCACGTTGTCGGTCTGTGCACATGATCATGTTGAGCACTAGATTCTGTGGCTTTAAAACATTTGAAAATCATTAGCCTAATCCCAAGTTTGGCTGTGCCATTACCATCATCAAAATTAGCATGCATATCCTCTTAACTGCATGGTACCTGCAGTGGATGGAGCAGGAATGGAGAATACAAGTCTGCTAATACTGAGCTCCCATGGACAACACCATGAAACTGCTTTCTGCCAGGCCACGCAGTTCTGCCCTGTATCCTCCTGACTTTCACTGAGACCATAACGTTCTTTCCTTCCCTGTTTGTGCCAGTGTAGATTTTCATTTGTGTTGTGTGTGTTCTTGTGCAGGATATACTGCCTCCTGCTTCTCACACAGGCTTTTCTGGATTACATCTGCCCTTCATTGGCTTCACATTTACAACAGAAAGGTATGTCTAGAATTCTCTTCCCCAGGCAGGCCTTCCCATGGGGAGATGAGTGGTCTGAGAGTGCTTCTGTGCATGTGCTGCTCATGCCAGGAGGGCTGGGAGAGGGCCCTGCTCTAGGGAGATGCGGGTCGGTTTTTGTCCTTAAAAAATGCACACATGATTACTGCAGGTGAGAACATGTATCAAGGTCAGCAGACTTTTTCTATAAAGGGCCAAACAGTAAATAATTTAGGTTTTGTGGTCTCTGTTGTGTATTCTTCTTTTACAGTCCTTTAAAAATGTAAAAACCATGCTTAGCTCATGGATGCTACAGAAATAGGCCAGGCTGGGATTTGGCCCACAGGCCATAGTTTCCCAACTGCTGACCTGTCAGCCATTAGCGTTAGCATGATTTTTTTGATAACAGAGTCAGTGGCTGCAGCCAGGAGAAGTGTTTCCGTCATGCTCCACTAGAGTATAAGATTTTGATTTGTGAGGATTTGGGCATCAGCTCCATAGTTTCCATTAGTGGGGCTGGAGGACAGTCTCTGCCATATGAGAGATCCAAAGAGCCAAGAGAGCATCCCCATGTGTGACCACAGCCCCACAGCTGTCTGTTGGCCTCTCCTGAATGGGTCTCTGTGCAAAGCTGTACCGCCTAAAGTATTCCACCTCGATTTTAAAAGGAAGCTGGGCCAAGAGCAGAGAAGTTGGGAAGAAAGGCAGGTAAGATAAGACAAGACTCCACAGTGCCCAAGGAAGGTCACAGAGTATGATTCATGGCATCTTCTGGCAGCTGGTACCTACCTAACTTGAAAATTTCTTTGGGAGAGGGGATACTTCTGCTCTGGCTTGTAGAAGACCTCTTTTGGTGTAAGATACCAGGGCTAACTAGCACTTGAGCCAGAGTGATAGCTGATGCCTTCCAGCCTCCAGGAAGCAGTCCAGGTGGACGTATTGATTTATTGCAGATGTCCTTGACTTTTCTGTTACATCCCTGCTCACTGTTTGCTTGTCACACTTGCAGGTCCCAGGCTTGCCTGCCAAGGCTCCAGTTTGGCAGGATGGGCCCAGGGATCTCCTCCCATGATAGACACCTGCAGAGTGAATAGCCCAGCACTCTCAGACCACCCTTGGAGAAACACTGACCAGAAAGGCCCATCTGCAAACAGATATGTGTGCATTGGGTTCTTCACTGGACTCAGCATAGGAACTCAAAGACTAAATAGTATGTGAAACAGTCTGAGAATTTAGCTATTAAATGAGAGAACCATCTTTGGCTTCAGTCTGTCTGTGCCTGTGATGCATTCTTGCACACATGTGTGTGTCATTGAGTCAGCTTGTCCTTGTGTGGATTAGAGTGCTGGAATTGGTTGGTCAGTCTGAAGGGGAAGAGATGAGCCCCAGAAGGTTACAGGAGCTGTCCCAGATCACACAGGCAGTTAGTGGCAGAGCCAGGAAACCTCTATGGCCTGTGCTGCTCTGGCTACACTGCTGTCCCCCAGCCTCCCTCGAGCCCAGCTCATTACACAAAACACCTTCTGGTTTTGCATTTCTAGTTAAGTATAAGTGATAATTTAGAAATTTCCCCTCCTTTGCAGGAGTGTTTTCTTTGACTAGCTGTAAGGGAGTATCCCTTTTATTCTCCCATGATCATCCAGTCATTTGCAGTAAGGAAGGTTCTTGTCTAACTTTGGCTCCATAAGCAATAAAGTCTTTTCACAGGCATTTTTGTTTGCCAATTTAAAAAGACTATCTTTCACCCCGGGAAGTTTTTAAATGCTAATGAAACCACTAAATTTTCAGTAGATCAGAAAAACCTGTTGCTTTATTCCGCAGCTGTTTTTCTGATCGAGGCTCTCTGAAAAGCATAATGCAGTCTAATACCTTAACCAAAGATGAGGATGTGCAGCGGGATTTAGAAAACAGCTTGCAGATTGAAGCTTATGAAAGGAGGATACGAAGACTAGAGCAAGAGAAGCTGGAGCTGAGCAGGAAGCTGCAAGGTGAGGCCAGAGCCAGCCTCATGCAGGCATAGGGCAGCTGCTGGGCCATGCAGGACCTGCACTTATACTATGTCTCCCTGTCCCTAGAGTCCACCCAGACTGTGCAGTCCCTTCACGGTTCAACGCGGGCCCTGGGCAATTCAAACCGAGATAAAGAAATCAAAAAGCTAAATGAAGAAATTGAACGTTTAAAGAATAAAATAGCAGGTAAGTATTTTAAAGTATAGCTGTTTAGTCCCTATTCTCGGGCATGAATGTCTTGAAATTTTCAGAGTCTTTTCATAAGATGGTGTATTAGTCTGTTTTCAGTTGCTTGTCACAAAATACCTGAAACTGGGTGATTCATAAGAAAATGCAGTTTATTTCTTACAGTTTTGGAAGGTAAGAAGTCCATGTATTGGCCAGGGGGTACATTTGGTGAGGGTCATCTTCTGGGTAGGAACTCTACAAGAGTCCTCTGGTGACTCAGGGTATCACATCACAAGGGCCAGGCCAGAGCTCCTGTTAACATGCTCAGCTCATTTGCTGTTCTTATAAAGCCATCAGTCCACACCGATGATAACCCATTGAACCATTAACCCGTTATTCCATGAATGGATTAATCCATTCACAGGGCATAGTCCTCACAATCCAGTCATCTCTTAAAGGCCCCATCTTTCACCACTGCCTCATTGGGGATCAGTTTTCCACATGAGCTTTGGAGGGGACACACATTCAGACTGTAGCGATCAGAAAAGCAGAAGAAAGCTTACGCTTTAGCAAACCTACTTAGGGTTCTGATATTTTGTCAGTATATTTAAAATTGTTTCACCCAACTTGCTTAGTTCTAATAATATAATTTTATAGTTACCAGCTGGAATTAATCCCTAATATTTTATCTGTAAACTCTCAGAATATTTTCTCTCTCTCTTAATTTTCTCCTTTGTAGCTCTGAGACAGCTTCTTTCTTGCCATAGCTGCTTTCTTTCTAAAGTTTTCATCAGTGATGGTGCCTGCTGTTCAGTATTTTAGGTGCTAGGCTTACTGTCACCACCTTTCTCTTGTGGTTCCTGGGTTATCAAAGCTTTCTAAAGACTCAAGTCACTTGTAGGCTTTACCCTTAATCTCACACGGATTGGTGTATTAGTCCGTTTTTGTTGCTTATAACAAAATAATGGAACTGGGTAGTTTGTAAGAAAATGAAACTTACTGCTTAACAGTTCAGAGGCTGGGAAGTCCAAGGTCCAGGGAGCACATCAGGTTCTTGGTAGTGGCGACGGTGACCCAGGGTATCACATTGCGAAATGGTGGAGCAGAGAGCGATAGCTCCTCACGCACTCTCCTTTTAAAGCCCTCAGAACCACGCCCTGAACACCACCATTAATCCATTCACTACTGCCAGTCCTACAACCTAATCATCTCTTCAAGGCCCCACCTTTCGATTACCATAATAGGACTTCCCACCCTCAGCAGTCACAGTGGGGTTAAGCCTCAGTGAGTGTGGGGGGGCATCTGGTCCACAGCAGTTGGTGCCACAGTTGACACGCATCTCCATGTAGTGCCTGGAATCTCTCACCTTCTCTCCATTTCCTATCTGGAACCCCACCGTCCTGATCCGGGAAAAAGCTTTGATTGAATCACTCAGTAAAACTTTTGTTGCACACTGAGAAAGGGTTAGACACTGTGCTAGATTACACAGTTTAAAGGGGCTAAGTCAGACGGGTGCGTGCTGCCCGAGGACTCACTAGAGGAGAGAGCACTTAAACAGATGATCAAAGTCCACTACAGGTGTACATGTAGCTATGCCCATGACACGTACGTACTCATGAGTGTGTAAAAGTAAGAAAAGTCTCTGAACGAAAAAGACTGTTATGAATTATTAAATAATTTTTTATCAGTAAGCCAGCTGACAAAGTTTTACATATAAAGTTACTGCATGTAAAAGAACACAGTTTATTTTCTCTTTTGCACAGATTCAAATAGGCTCGAGCGACAACTTGAAGATACAGTGGCACTTCGCCAGGAGCACGAGGACTCCACGCATCGGCTGAAGGGACTGGAGAAGCAGTACCGCATGGTGCGGCAGGAGAAGGAGGATCTGCACAAGGTATCCAAGGGCTCTGCTTCATGTGAGAGGGTTTAAATGATTTTGCAGAGTTTCGTAAGTCTGAGTTCATGCAGCAGCTGAGAGACCTCCTCAGGACTCTCATGTGTGGACTCTTCTGTGCCGCATGCAGGGCTCCCACGTCAGAGGGACGTTTAGGTGCCCTGCCTCCAGCCAGCAGCCACTTGATAGTCGGCACCTTCAGTTTCCACCCCAGCCCTGCAGGGTAAGCAGTGTCCCCCCCATCCTAAAGTGAGGAAGTGCCTCCCAGAGGACACTGAACGAGCTGGATTAACATGCCATGTCTGATGTCACAACTCTCCCCCACTCCACCTCGCCCGCAGTGGCCTGACCTCCTTCTTCCAGAAGGGACTAATTAGTTATGACAGGGCACTGCAGAAGAGACAGTTTGTTAGAATTTGAGTGATTCCCCCCCATAACTCCTTTTAAACTTGATTTTCAGTAAGATATGTCAGACTTTATGCTGAAATGCTAATGTATTAATAACATCGTTAAGATTGTGTTTTCTAAAATACAGTCATTTAAATACTTAAATCCTTGAACCCATAGTTTGTGATTTGTTCTCTAAAATGGACCAAATTTCGAACCCAGGTTGTTTCTTAAGTTCATCTGTGGTGTCCTACCACCTGCAATGATCGTCTAGAAGAGCAGTGTGGGGACCTGCAGCATGTCCCTGCTCTGATGGAGTCACAGGACTACCACAGAGCCAGGCTCAGGGAACCCTGGGGGAGCCGCCCTGCAACTCACTACAGATCTCCTCACTTCCAGGCTCAGACAAGCAGGTGTGACAGTGATTGAGTAGCCAACTTGTGGACCATATTGGCTGTAGGCAGGTCAGCGTTGTCAGTGCAGCCAGTGGCAGGGCCGGTTGTGTCTCTCCTCCCAGAGGGACAACCAGAATCCATACCTCAGCCTCTAATGAAGGCTTAGCTGTCCAGTGATTTTTATGCAGTTCTTCCCTTTGACTTAAATCTTAAGCATTTTCACGTACATGTGTTCTTACCTGATTCTGCTTGTGTTTAAGTAACTAAATTGAATGCCCAAATTTATGCTTCGTCCGTCTTCGGGATTATGTAGAGGATGGAGGGAAGAGGTTGAAATTAGGAGCCAGACTTCCTGCTGTATACTGGCTGCTGCACTGGGTGCAGGGTCTTCCCTGGTGTGGAGATGGTGCTTAGCAACTGAGCCCAGGTGGATTTCTTCCAGGTTGCCTGTGTGGCTGGGATGGGGCAGAACAAAGGGCTTTTTCTGAGCTCCGTGGCTATCATCAATCTATAACCAGCATTTGGTACCACTTTTAACTCTTTAATACAGTGGGAGACTGAACTTCCCCCTTTCCAAGTCTTTGTTTAGCAGCGTAAAACATCTATAATTTTTTTGTTCAGCAATTGGTTGAGGCTTCAGAGCGATTGAAATCCCAGGCAAAAGAACTCAGAGATGCCCAGCAGCAGCGGAAGCTGGCCCTGCAAGAGTTCTCAGAGCTCAACGAGCGCATGGCGGAGCTCCGCTCCCAGAAGCAGAAGTTGTCCCGGCAGCTCCGGGACAAAGAAGAGGAGATGGAGGTGGCCATGCAGAAAATTGACTCGATGCGGCAGGAAATCCGCAAATCAGAGAAGTTTAGGAAAGAGGTAGCTTTTTAGTCATTGCAGTGATTATATTGATTGGACTTTTGTATGATATTAAAATGTCTTTGAACACTTGGTCTATTTACATAAATTACTTTAAAATGGATCTTAAATTTTATGTGAAGGGAAGTAAGTTATCTGCCAAGCATTTATTTTGTAGTTCTCATCCCTCAATATCTATTTGTGAAAAAAAAATTTTGTCTGCTGGCCACTTCAGAAATCTAAACCCTTGACCTTGGTGTTACAGCAGTGCACTCTAACCAACTGAGCTAACCAGCCAGCCCTATTTGTGAAATTATTAAAAGAGGTTTTTGCAGTACTAATTTTTCTTAAGATTAAAGTTAAAATTTTAATTCCCTTTTAAAATAAATAGAGGATATTTATATCCAGATGTGATAGGTATGGCTTAAGTGAATTTGAGTACCTGCAGCCCGTACAGCATAGATGGGAACTAAAAGAAGACACCATAGCCTAGTATGGATACTTCAAGTCAGTTGCCTTAGGTCAGCGGCTCTGAAGCTTTTTGGTCTCAGCACTTCTTCAGATGCTTCAGAATTAATTGAGGACCCCAAAGAGCTTTCATTTATGTAGGTTATGTTCTTTATATGTACCATGGTAAAAATTAGAACTGAGAATTTTTTCCAATACAATAAAGCCATTACATGTTAACATAAATATTTTTTGTGAAAAGTAACTATTTTTGTAAAAATTTAGTGAGAATAGCATTTTTTTTTTTCACATATAAACTTTAATATCTGGGTAAAAGAAAACTCCTGGGTTCTTATATCTGTTTCTACATTTAGTCTTGTGATATGCTGTTTAGGACAAAGTATATGAAGAAAACTGGGGTCCTACCGAGAGGAAAGTCAAAAAGGAAGGCCTTGTCTCGGGATCCTGGGAGTTCTCAGTGCCTTCTTTGAGAACTGCTATCCTAGATATTCTGTATGTTCTGTTGTTAATGGGTGACATATTTTAAGAACATTTAAAATTCTGTTAAAATTTATTTGATAAACCCTGTGAATTAGAAGGCCTGGAAGTACTTGCTCTTCTTCCTTTTCAGTTCAGGACTCTTTGTTATTTAGCCTCAAAATACCTGTTTTTTTCTTCTTATACAGTTTTTTTTGCAGCCCAAATATATTTGTTGTTGTAGCCAACCGCAGCTCAAGTTAATGAAACCCTTAATTAAAAATTACCATTTCTGGGCCAGCCCGGTGGCGCACTCGGTAGAGTACAGCCGCGCTCCCGCCGAGGGTTCGGATCCTATATAGAGACCGGTCTGCTCGCTGGTTGAGTGCGGTGCGGGCGTGACACCGAGGGTTGCGATCCCGTTGCTGGTCGCAGTATGGGCGCGACACTGAGGGTTGCGATCCCATTACCGGTCACGAATAAAAGACAAAAAGGAAAAAAAAAAAATTACCATTTCAGGGGCCGAGCCCGTGGCACACTCGGGACAGTGCAGCGCTGGGAGCACAGCAGCGCTCCCGCCGCGGGTTCGGATCCTATATAGGGATGACCGGTGCACTCACTGGCTGAGCGCGGTGCAGCCAGTCTCAAAAAGGACAAAAAAAAATTTACCATTTCAGGGCCAGCCTGTGGCTCACTTGGGAGAGTGTGGTGCTAACAACACCAAGGCCACAGGTTTGGATCCCTACATAGGGGTGGCCGGTTAGCTCACTTGGGAGAACGTGGTGCTGACAACACCAAGTCAACGGTTAAGACCCCCTTACTGGTCATCTTTAACAAAAAAAAAATTACTATTTCAAGGGCTGGCCAGTTAGCTCAGCTGGTTAGAGCATGGTGCTGATAATAGCAAAGTCCAGGGTTCGATTCCTATACCAACTAGCAGCCAAAACAAACAAAAGTTACCAATTATGGATGAAATGTTTTGGTGTCTGGAATTTGCTTTAAGGTGATTTGGGTATAGGCATATAGGTGAACCAAGCTTGGCTCATGCTGCCAACTGTCACATCTGGGTGATGGACACATGGGGGTCCATTGTACCACTCTTTTATGTGTGTTTGAAATTTTCCATTAAAAAAAGAATCTGTCATACAGATATCAGAAGTACTCGTTTTCACAAATCAGTGCTCTTTCTTGAAATTTATTCTCAAATTATCAATTTAAATTAGAATTTAAGCTTGGTTTTATCACTAGCCAGTCATTCTAGTCAAGTCCTAAAGTGTATTTCTCAGCCTTTAACTGGTGATAAAATTTGATGAAGGGTGAAGAAATACAAAGATGCTTGAAGGTTTTGTTCTCTTAGAGGTCCTTTGAGTAAAGAATATAACTGATGAAGCCGTACTTGTTTTGTGTGAATAAGTGGGTCTTCTCTTTGTAGCTGGAAGCTCAGCTCAAGGATGCTGTCGCTGAGGCCTCAAAAGAGCGCAAGCTTCGCGAGCACAGCGAGAACTTCTCCAAGCAAATAGAAAGTGAGCTTGAGGCCCTCAAGGTAGTGCTTGGTTAGGGTCTTTACTCTTAACCGAGAAAGAGTTCTATCCTTACTGGAGCTATCGTGTGGAAATTGTCTTACACATGTGCTTGTCGGGCCGCACTTCACACAAGGCCGTTCTAGATGGGCTATGGAGAGGTGGGAGCACATGACTCTGCCTTTGTGACAGCTTTCATTTTTAAAAACCAAGTTCATTTCTTTCTTTCCTTACATAGAAGTTTCAGGCAGTTCATAGTAAGTCCTAGTAAACTAATCTGTGATACCTTCTTCATATACTGGTTTTCTAAATTCAGTGGAGTCCAGTTCTGGAAATTCTCTAAAGCCCATGACTGTTGCTGACAGTGGAAGAGACTGGCTGGTTGTCCGTTTGGGGCCAGCTTGTAGGGCCAGGGAACAGCAAAGAGACTCAGGAGGGAGGGAGGGAGCAGAGAAGGCTGTAGCAGCAGAGCCTGGGTAAGGGGTCAATGGGTCTCCTTGTCAGAGTAGTGTGACCTCTCACAAGTGACCTTATTTTTCTGAGCTGGGTTTCTTTTGTGATGTGGACATGATGGGTCTTCTCTGTGCCTCACGCCTCCATGATTCTGTCACCCCTTCTTCTAGCACATCAGCCCAAGGTGTCTGTTTATCTCCATTGCCTTTGCTTCCACTTAGTTCAGCCACAGGCAGCAAGGTTTGCCTGTCCTCTGTGTTCCTGAGACCAAGTCTGCCTGTCTCTTTCTCAGCCCCTGCAGTTGCTGTCCACACAGCGAGCTTGTCCAGCCGCAAGCAGAGCTATCACTTCCTCAGTGCCCTCTGTGGCTTCCTGCCACTCCCCAAGCTCACCACCTCCTGCCTGACGTGCGCTGCCACCTGATGTACACTCTCCCTGCAGTTCCCCACCAGCCACGCTGGTCTTTCTGTGCCACAAGCATATCCAGCTCATTCCCACCACATGCCTCTCACCTCTGTGTCTTGGCCCTTGCTGTTTGCCTCTAGCCTGATATCTGTCATCCTCTGTCACCACCTCAAGGGTGCTCCTCATTATGTACCCCCCATTCTTTATTGCACTACCTCATGTGTCCTCTCGTTGTTTTGCTGTCAGAGAGCAGAGACCTTGGTGTCACCCCAGTCACCAGTAAGGTGCCTGACATAGTCAGCCCTAGTAGAATGTTGCACAAATGAACGAACAATGCAAGGTCAGGACAGAGTGTGGGACAGCCTCTGGGGTCCCAGGCAGATACTGTCATCCCTAAACTCTGCCTTGCGGTTGTTAGGAGGGGTACATCACCCAGGTCAGCTCCGTCACCTGATGCAGCCCTGGCAGAGCTCTCGTTGGGGGTAGAGGAAGCTGTGTTCCAGTGCCTGCGTGTGGCGGGAATGGGAGGTCATAGAGATTTGTCAATGTATTTTCACCTTTCTCTTCAGACAAAGCAAGGAGGCCGGGGACCAAGCGCCACTTTAGAACATCAGCAAGAGATTTCTAAAATAAAATCAGAGCTGGAGAAGAAAGTCTTGTTTTATGAAGAGGAATTGGTCAGGCGTGAGGCCTCCCATGTGCTGGAAGTGAAAAACGTGAAAAAGGAGGTGCATGACTCAGAAAGCCACCAACTGGCCCTGCAGAAAGAAATCTTAATGTTAAAAGATAAATTAGAAAAGTCAAAACGAGAACGGTAAGTTTTCATGACCTCTTTCTTCAGTGTAGAAAGCTAAGCTCATACTCACCCCAGGGATATGAAATAGTAGCACAGTTACAAACCTTTAAAACTGCTTCTGTTATTCACCTTCTCAGGCATAACGAGATGGAGGAGGCAGTGGGTACAATAAAAGATAAATACGAACGAGAAAGAGCGATGCTCTTTGATGAAAACAAGAAATTAACTGCTGAAAACGAAAAGGTAACTTCAGATGCGTTATCACTTTGTGTGGAAGCTGTCATTTTTTCTTTCTTGAGTTTTGGAAGTTTGGTGTCTATTTTAAGTATTTTAACTTTTAGATGAAGTAATAATGTTTGGTCTTTTAAGTAGAATGTTTTCATTCAGTTAAAAGGTGCTCATTACAGGAAGTCACTATCCCTGTCAGTTTTAGGTTTAAATTTGAATTGAAATATGACTTAAGTTAGATATAACCAGATAGTTCGTGTCATGAACTTAGTTTGGAAAACTGTTGTGACAAAGAAAACTTTTAAAATCTCCGAAGATTTTTTTTTTTTTTTTTTTTTGTT